CATTCCATTCCATTCCATTCCATTCCATTCCATTCCATTCCATTCCAGGCAATAAGTACTCTTGGATCTTTCAGCTTTCTAAGTCTTACAGGAGTATGAATTCCCTCCTTTTTAACGTTTGTGCATGCTGCCATGTCTTTAGGATTTAAGGGATCGGTTACAGGAACACCCCCCCCAGTTAAAGCTTCCACCTGTGAGGTCCTGCTCCTACACGATTTTCACACCGAAGGTCATTAATTCCTCAAAGCTCATCTTCCTGAGCCCTATCGGTTTCTCTAACACTTCAAATGCTACTTTGTTATTTGCAAACGCAACGGCTGCTTCACAGGGTTCCAGTCTTCAAATTAAAGATTAGCAGCCTGAGCATTAAACTGGTCGTCCCACCCCACCTTCGTGTTCCCCCCCCAGCCCCCAACCTCCCAAACTCTCGGGGAGATTTACACTAGTTATTTATAAGCCTGGGTGTTTTATCAGGTGGACCAAGAGAATGCAGCCACACGCTGGCATTTTGAAGGTAGCCCTGGGGACACGTGTAAGCGAAAGGAGAACTTCAAAAGGGAACACAGCCAGCCTGCTGGGTTTAATTAAAAAGCTCAAAGAGTTTGTGCTAAGCCAGTATGGCACTCCTACATCAACCTGACTGTCAGATCCACCGGAGAAAAATATTAATCCAGATCCAATCAACCTAGAAGAAAAGAACAGAGCTGCCCTCAGGAACCCCCTTCGACTGCGTCACATCAAGAATTTCAAAAAGCCAGACATGCTGAAAGAAGTTATAAAAATAATTTTTAAAAAAGGGAACGGAATTGTGCCTTGCAACCACAAAACAAGAAAAATGATTAAGGTGTGTGGCGTTGAAATTACAGGCCCAACAACATACAATAATGCAAACCAAGTGTTGTGGTTTGCCAAAAGAGCCAGTGCAGCCGTGGGCTGTATCAACAGAAGGATAGCTTCAAGCTCACAAAAAGTAATAATACCTCTTTATGCTGCACTTGGTGAGGCCACGGTTGGGAAACTGTGTACATCGCTAAATGTCTGTGGAGATTCTCGGTCCTCCAGGTCATGGTTGTCCGAAAGGTGCTTTTTCAAGAGGCAACTGGACTTTCTCGTTTTTTCTTTGAAGACATTTCGCTTCTCATCCAAGAAGCTTCTTCAGCTCTGACTAGATGGTGGGGAATGGAAGGATTTATTCTCCTTGCAGACAGCTGGTCATTTGCATTATTTTTAGAGGGTTGTTGAGGCCACTTGGAGGTTTGTCTGTGTCCTCAGGATCACCTGAGTGGTGCAAATGGGTGTGGAGCCTTCTTGGCTGAAGAATGTTTTAGGCCCAGTGTCCCTTTACTGTTGACTACTGTTGCTTTACACCCATTTGCGTTACTCAGGTGATCCTAAGGACACAGAAAAACCTCCAAGTGTCTCAACGACTCCCTAAAAAGATGTAAATGACCAGCTGTCTGCAAGTAATATCAATCCTTCAAAGATTTTTGGATAAGAAGCGAAACGTCTTCAAGGAAAAACCAGGCAGTCCAGTTGCCTCCTGTAAAACCTTCTTTGGGACAACGCTGTGCACAATTCTGGTCACCATGATACAAAAATGATAAAGGGAGATGATAAAGGGAGACTAAATTGAATGATGGATGACAGAGAGACCTAGGTATGACTAGCCTATCAAAGAGAAAGATTAGAGAGGAGATGATAACTGTCTTCCAGTACCTTGAGGCCTGTCACAAAGAAGAAGAAAAAAGCTCCAGAGAGCACAAACAAGAAGTAACGTTTCTTCCCCTGTGCCATCACTCTGCTAAACAACTAATTCCCACAACACTGTCAAACTATCTAGCAAGGCTGGTATTACTATTGTTCTTCTCATCTTTCCTATTGCCTATTTCTTTATCTTCCTACGACTATAACTTTGTTGCTTGTATCTTGCGATTTATATTAATTGCTTTATTTAGTATCCTATGACATAGGCTGATTGCTTATTTAGTATCCTATCACTAAGTATTGTATCTTATGATTTCTGATAAATGTATTTTAATGATTATGATCATGATTTATCACTTTTTGCTTGTATGTACACTGAGAGCTTTATGAACCGGAGATAAATTCCTTGTGAATTCCTTAATCATAATTCTATTCTATTCTATTCTATTCTATTCTATTCTATTCTATTCTATTCTATTCTATTCTCCTTTCCTTTCCTTTTCTTTCTTTCCCTTTCCTTTCCTTTCCTTTCCTTTCCTTTCCTTTCCTTTCCTTTCTTTCCCTTCCCTTCCCTTCCCTTCCCTTCCCTTCCCTTCACTTCACTTCACTTCACTTCCTTTCTCTTCCCTTCCCTTCCTATCCCATCCCATCCGATGGAAGATGATTAAAGAAAGACCTCCTAGAAGACCTCCAAACATTTTATTCTATGTTCTAGCCAGAAAGGTTGGAACCCTCAAGATACGAATGAGTCACTGGCCTTGTCATTCTGCAGCCAGAGGTGGGCCGTACATACATAGGTAAAATGCTCGCCCGCATCTAACCAAAATGGAAATGACTTGTGTGTCTTTCAACATAATAGCAAGCCAATGACCTTTCTTTTCAAGAGAGGGGATTTGAGCTGGCACACGCTGAGGCTTTCAGAAGCTGCTACATTATCAGTTAATGCAACAAAAGGAACAGTTCAGAGTTTAAATTCAGCATAGGTAAACCGCAAGGCTATTAGAAATGGTCATAGCAGAGCAGGGACCATTCAAGAAAGAAAAAAGAAGGAAGGAAGGAAATCAGTGGCTGTACAAAGGACCACAAAATCTTATTATTCTAAGACAGGGAGGGGGAATCCAATCAAAAACAAAGCGGCGGCAGCCCTTTGATGGAGAAATAAATAAATAAGTTAGAGAGATCCGTAAGTCGTCAAAGGACAAACTGCTTGCATGCAGAAAGAACACGAGGGAGATGCGAAAATAGCAGCAGATCCCTGAGCTTTCAAAGAAGCTGGCAACTTCCAGGAACATCACAGCATTCTGACATGTTCTCAGGAGTGTCTACTTAAATTTTGACACTATTGTCCTGAGATTTAGCTTTGTCTTCTTCTTCAAGATAAAGGAATATGTGAAGCTTGAGTGGACTTCAGAGCAATGCAGGACTTCATTTTTCAATGGGGCGTTGTTTTCATCTTTCTCTGAAACTAAACTTCGGTTAAAGGACACTCAGAGTCTCAAGAAAATAAAAGACTGTGAAGTATGAAATCGACAACCATTCAACTTGAAATGATACACACACACACATGCACACACACCCTTCTCTCACTACATACCAGGCCTCAGGAACAAGAAAGAAATACGGAGTTACTTTGGAGAAATGTCCTTTTTATTGTTCCTCGCCTACAGACAGAATCTTGCCAGACTAAAGCAATGACAGGTCATTGTTGACTTCGATGGCCTTGACTACTGCAGACAGATTTATTGATCAACTCACTGAGAACTAAGGCACTTGAAGGAGCCCTTACCTTTGGGATTGCCACTGTAAAGAAATCAAGCGGATGCAAGCAAAGAAATTCACATCATAGCTATGGTGCTAGGTACCGTGTTTCCCCAAATATACGACCTACCCTGAAAGTAAGTCCTAGTTGGATTTGTACATGTGCACCCACTATTAGCCCTACCACCAAAACAAGCCCTAATTAAGACCCCATCGACTACAGGATGCACAGGTAAAAATTCAGCTAGGGGGGGGATAAGGGGGGGAGTGGAGCTCTCCTACTACTTACCTTTGGACAGTTGTAGCCAGGCTTCACACACCCCGACACCTGCCTTGCTGGCGCATTTCTTCTGCAGCTGGCAAGGCTTTCCTGAAGGCCTCTGTACCTGATAAGAAAGCTCTGGATCGATCCAGAGCTGTTATCAACTACAGCAGCCTTCAGGGAAGCCTTGCTGGCTGCAGAGGAAGAAATTCCTGAAGGCTGCTGACAACGAAAAGGAGGGCCGGGTGACACATGCAAGTGAGGTTAGTCAGTGGATGGCATCCCCCCAAAATAAGACCTGGTGTCTTTTTTGGTGGCAAAAAAATTGTAAGACAGGGTCTTATTTTCAGGGAAACACAGTAGCAAGGGAAGGGCTAAGGTTGATGATGACCATATCAACAGGGGAAAGCTCATTTCTTCATATCTTCCCTAAACATCAATCCATGAAGGCAAGGGACATACAACTCACCCTCATACCGAGTTCAATGTTTTCTCCTCCGTAAACCTCCATGCCCGGATCAAGCAGGCCAATCTCTCCAAAGTACTCTCGATCCACCACAAACGAACACCCAATCATGGCTGGTGTCCTGTTGAGTCAGAGAGGGAAGTAGAAGGAGAAGAAGAAGGGGAAGTAGGAGGAAAAGGAGGAGGAGGAGGAGAAGAAGGAGGAGGAGGAAGAGGAGGAGGAGGAGGAGAAGGAGAAGAAGAAGAAGAAGAAGAAGAAGAAGAAGAAGAAGAAGAAGAAG